TATAATATTCAATAGAATTGTACTGTTCTTCCATATCACTATTCTTTTTCCCTCACCCAAACTTATGTTTATTATCTCTGTCTCTTTTGAATCTCTCTTCACTCTCTTCTCTCGCTTTGTGTGTTACATAGAGTTTGGCAACTCTAACTGCTGCACATCGATGCAAAGTTCTACGTTGAAACCAGTCAGTCAGTCAGTATGTGTATGTGGCCTATAACAAGTGATTCTGAAACATGTCATCAACGGTCTTTAACCATTAATCCCTAGGACTCCAGACAAACAGTCTACATCTGCCCAGGTGACACTAACCAACACAATCAGAGACTTCATGGATTAATGTTACTCTTTTGGTTTACGATCATCCTTAACTCTTTCTCAACGTCATCCAATAGGACTCATCGGGAAAGTTGGTAGATGAGCATGAGCAAGATATCGTCTTCTACCCACTTCAATCCAACACTTCATGCTTAACCTCCTCATCATCGAAAGTATTGTTTCTTCTAGAATAAGCCATTAAGCAAAGGCACAACCCATAGTCGAAAATCACTCATGCTTTCAGATCGTCCATTCACAGTAAGTCCCATAGCTATAAGTTAGAGAGAATTACTAAGCAGCATACACACACTTTGACAGATAAACGAAAATAACTCCTGCCCCTAAGATAACGTGATACTGGGTGACACGGGTTCGAACCTCAGAAGGGACATGAGTTCTTTAAAAATTGCAGATACGCCTTACTGACGAGTGCCAACAAGCACGAAACCTATGTCAAGCAGGATTTCCTACCGATTGCCTTCAACCATCTAATAACAAAATGTTATCTTGTTTTGGAAGGAAAACTTATCTTTTTTTAACTACTATGGATATATGTCTGTAGTAGCAAGTAAAGAGTTTTATCGGGAAGGCTATCTAAAACAGTCTTAGTTGATGTTAGTGTTACGACATACTGATTGAAATAGAAATAAAAATACAAATTACAACAAAATTCTTATCAACAATCACATTTATTCACAAATCGATGCAGTTTGCTTCTATAATAATTACACGAAAATTACATTATTCAAATAATATTTTAATATTATAGATACTGTACATTTGTCCCTATTAAAATTTCATTACACATTTCACTCATCAATCAATGAAACACAATTTATCCAACTCAAAAATATTCATGCAGATCACGAAATAACTTCAGTTAGAGAACTATTGAAAGCCAGGGAGTAATGGATAACTGTTTCGTCCTAGTTTGAGACTCTTCATCAGTACCCACCACCCCTGGCGCCATTGGGGAACGAATCCAAGACCTTAAGGTTACCACGTGGCAAACCCGTTGAGCGTTGAGCAAATGGAATGGCAACTAATGGTCCACGAATTCTCACTTCCTAAAATCTCCGACACATTTAGCCCAACCGCCAGTCAATGGTATCAGCAACTTCACCCAGTAGTCAGTCACTAGTGACCATTATATCTGCAAGTAATATTCTGTAGGTACTTCACAAAGTCCAACCATGAAGTCAGCCCATAATAAAACATGAAGTCAATCATGAAATCCCTGTAAGATAAAACTTGCCCCATAAAGAACCTAGTATTGTGGTGAGAGCTGTCTGCAAGCCGAAATTGTAAGCAACAATTTACGTCAGTGTTTACGTCCCAAATCGGGCTCATGAGAAAAAACAAGAACAAAGCTTAACCTTGAGGAAATCGCCAACCAATCACAGCAGACTTAACGTGGGCAGATACTATTAGCAGATATATAGTCGGACTGCCTAAGAAACGGGAACAAAGAGATAATAGAATGACCTTCAGCAAGAAAACGACCAATCAGAAGACGTTACCTCTCTGCTAACAATATCGAATAGTAATGTACATAAAAATCTATAAATATCTCTTTTCAATATACGATATGTTGCCTGGCCCTTGTCTTCTGTCGTTACAGTATGATCGAGGATGAATAGACTTCTGTCTTCTTCTCAAAGTGCTCTCATGTGACCTCACATTCGTAGTCTCCCTGCCAAATAAGTCTTATTTCATTGCCTTCAGGCGAGGGGTGGGGATATTCCTTACAAAAGTAAAAGGGTGAATGGTGCTTACGATCGAACCGGTGGACATGCAGGGGAATCTTGGCTCCGAACCTATGGTACACATGCACTCCAAAATCTAAAAGGATCGAATCATCTATGAACCTGTTTTGGTGGTCACAGGCAATCATGGAAAAACAGCTCCACTACCTTATGGGTCAAGCTTCAAGTCAAAGGTTCGGGAAAGTTGACGCCTTCAAAAACAACCTTCTGCTTCGGTCTTGGCTTCCAGATGCCCTCGCACAAACCATGAGATTCTGGTATCCATAATGTACCAGATTTGTGTTTTAATAAGTTAAATAACACTTGAAAATATCTATGTAGAATTTCAATGAAGCAATTATCAAAATCATAGACCACCACCTTAAATGTGTGCACAAGTTTTTATCAAACTATGATCAAGACATTTCTCGAAATTTCTGACAATCATCACCTCATTACTTTAAAACAAAACAAAAAACATTCTTCAGTCATTTCAACTGCATTTTATTGTGCAATAAAGTTTGTAAACAAGGTCCAGACACATGATATTGATTACCACCTGGGGACTAATAAAATTGTCCCAATCACAGTCTTACAGCAAGTCAGTCAATCGCAAGTCAGAAAAGCTCAGTGTGGTAAAATTTCCGACTGCATCACTGCATCATACTATATGCATATTTTTGTAAATAACGCCATGGGATGATTTCATCGGTGGAGTTCATTATCAAACGATTAAATAATCCCTTCAAACTAAAACTTGAAAATTAGTCAGATACTCACTAGTGACTGGCTTCGGGACGAAGTTACCTGGTGTTTTATTAGGAGGTCGCGGTGTGTGAGGACAAATACTCGCCGACAGCATTCCCTGGTGGTCGGTTACGCTAGAATTATAAATTGTTAGAAACTGGAATTCATAGCCTGGCCAATGAATCGGGTCCTAGTGGCTTAATGGTCTACGAGCTCGCCCCATAACCGGAAGGTCCCGGGTTCGAACCCTGACGGTGAGTGCGTGCTGATTAAGCGTCCCAAACTAGGACGAAACAGCTGTCCAGCACTCCTGTATTTCCCAATGGTTCTCTTACGTGATGCCAGCTCTTGATTAATCTTTTAATCATTATCCCATCTCAAAACTTGTTGGACACAACAAAACTTCAACCACTGTCTTAATTTGAATAACAGAATAAAAATACATATTTTTTACATAGACAATATTATTCATTCACAATTACTATTGAACCCTAGGACAGTTTTAATGTTTATTCACACCAAAAACACATTTCAATAAACACAAATATATTGATCAATTCTAAATGTATCAATATGAAGTATTTCGTTTAAAAATAAGACGCACACATACCAAATTTATTTTCAAAAATTAGAAAATACTTAATAGAGAATTAAAAAGAATCAAGCAAAAATATATAGACCGAGTTTAAACGCGAAAAAGAACAACAATTTTCTGTCCAATTCATATTGAATTGGAATGTAAGAAATTGGTGTATTTATATTTATCTGCAAAATACATCCTCCATGCTTAGAGATTTTTAATGGCAGATGTCTAACAATCTTTCTAGTCAACATGTTAATGCGGGAATTTAGGAAGTGAATAGTTTTCGATGTAGACTTCATCACGAATCGATATAAGCTAATGAATCATCAGGAACCAAAGAGTGAAATACAAATGTTTCGTCCCAGATACGGACCCCTCATCGGTGCGCACCCGTGACCCGACTGAGGACCAAACTCAAGCAGGGCGAACCCTCTGAATCGAGTCAATCAATGTAGGTCGTGTTTCGGAGACACGCATACAAGACCCAAGTTTGGTCATTCACTTGACCCCACCTGACCATCAGAGTGAATCTGCGAAATTCACCGTACACAGGAGATTTCTCAGTTAGTACGCGAAGACTCGCAGATGTAGGCGTAGCAGTGATTGCTAGGGCAGGAAAATTCCTACTCGACTGAATCCCAGTGGATAGTCGCATGTGTGCTGTCCACCTGAACGGATCCATAAGAAGAAGGAAGGACTGCGTTGGCTACTAGTGTCTTTTTCTCATAATCTCCGCCTACACTCCAACCGACTACAGTTCAGATGAAATAAAGGATGAGTTCTACACCAAAAACTGTCTAGTTTGCTACGAAAAGCATAACGTTCAAATATAGTCGTTTTAGCAGAGCGACTTCATCAATACCCAAGTAGGGAGATTGTGTCAGACTGAGAAGTATGTTAGTGGCACCAACGGAGTTCCCTGTTGACAAACCAACAACGATGATTGTCTTCTTCAGTTCCGTTCTGAACTCCAACTCAGTGACTGAATGGTAAACGGGAAGTTCTCTTAACTTTAAGGTTCTGAGTTCGATTCCTAGTGAAGCAATGAGTGCACACTGCTGAGAAGTGTGTAAATGGAATAAAATATTCGTCTATTACTGCCCGATTTCCAATGATTCCCAACCGATATCGGTTCGTAACGAAATACATATCGGAATGAAGCAAGAAAAAGTCCCTATAAAACTCAAAATCCGGATTAAATATTTGTATCTAGACTAATATTTTTACTTTGATATCGGAGATCTCAAATTAGTTAGCAAGAAACCTTAAGAAAAAATTTTACATCCCTTTGCACTAATCAATAAAACCTAGTCTCAACCTTTCAAAATATCATATAACTACGAACATACTTCAATAATGAGCACTAAGAGCCAAAATGATGAGAGTTGAGTGCTCGCCGCTTTTAGGTGGTCAACATTAAAAATACTGTGATAAAGTGTCAATAGCTTTATGGTCTCCAATAGTTCTCCAGTCTACATAGAAAACTATTCAGTCAACTGACAAACTGAACGAAAATTCAACTTTCACAATGGTCATCAACAGTTTGAGTAAATAGTGAGTACAGGTGTTCAACAACAAAAAATAACTATTAAAAAAAACACAGAACTTACATATTGTAGAAAATGCAGAACACAGGGCAAATAATAACGTGAGACCAGCATTAATACCTGTCACAGTTAAATTCAGTGTACACTGACGAGGTAAACCATAGAAGATAACAAATGCAGTATAAGCACAAACTGTAGCTGAGTAAAGAATAAGTGTGGTAACATAAATGGCTGAAAGTAAGGAAAAAAGGTAAGAAAAAAACATATCTTAGTTAGTTTCTATAAACAAATATACTTTAAAATTGAAGTAATTTGGTAGATAATGACCAACAGTGGAATCTTGGATGTTCATTTAATCCGATTCCACATTCTTCAGCTGGATGTACCTGCATTCCCAGTGAGTGATGGTTTTACCACTGAGAAAAATGAAAAACGCCCGCTGCATATGAGGTGGACCAAGAGGTCTGGTGGACAACGCTTTGCCCTTTGAAACGATAGGTGCAGGGTTCGAGCCTCAGTGAGAACACCATAACTCAATGGAGACACCGACAAATCCCAAGTACGACGAAACACGTATCTTGGATTCCGCTGTTAGTTACCACTCACCAAAATTACTTCAAGTTAGTCCTCAGACATCGTCGAAGCGTCCATACTATGAGCAGACAAGTGAACAGAGGTCGAACATTTCGGTCTAATCAATCACCGGGAAAATCAAAAATTCACTTAACCAAATAATAATTGAAGATAAACAGAAAAACGATAAACCAAGGTATATGGATGTGACTGATAACTACTATTATGACGGTTTGTGTTACGCAATCAGTTTTCGAGACGTAATGCGGTTCGAACCCTTCATCCGTCACTATGGTAGGATAATTAAGGCACTTACAGGCACATATATTAACATATACATCTAAAAATAAACTGAGGTGTGGACTAGTTTTTTGTGCAGTTTTGCATATTCATGTTACATATCTTAGCACTCCATAATTTACTAAACAAAAAGTATCACAAAACTATAAAGTATCTTCGTAGATACAAGCTGAATGAATAATTTGTAAATTATTCCCAGATCATTTGCATTCATTAACTTTCTCACAATTGACCAGTTTTTATTTCCCGAACTCAGTTGGATGTAGGATTCTTATTAGAAATAATTCTACAAGAAGTAATAGTCATAAATGAAACAATCATCCGGTGTTTCCATTTCTGCATTCTGAATGTCAAAGTTCAAATTCCATTGTGGATGATTGTTACTTAATTATATTGCTCAGTAATATTACTAGTAACGTACTGAAGATAAATTAGTAGGTTCGAAACCAGAGGTTGGTTGCTGCATGAAAAACATCTTCAGGATCTACAGTTAAAATATACTTACCTAACGTGTAGCAGGGAGACGTCTTGGATTTATTATGCCTAAAACAAGAAAACACAATGGTAAAGTTATTACAGTATAATTACATATCATAACTCTCATCCATAAACAGAAATGCTGAGGATTCATTCGACACTTTATGCGCAGCGTCAAACAAGAAAAACTAAGTTTTTATGACTCAACAAACTCGTGACTCTAATAACAAATTTATCATTTCGAAAAATTATCAAATACTAGTTTGGAAATAGAAGATAACAATGAAGACAGAAACCTTCGTGGACTGCAAATCTTCGGGGTTTGCAGAAGTCACACTCAAAGAACGAAATTTTTCTAAGGCAACCATACTTACGGGTGGAAAAATATTTAACCGAAACAGTACAGTACATAATTACGAAAAGCATTTTTTTTCGTTAGTTTTTACATTTTCGATTATTTGAAACTAAAACTCACATGTGTTTAAAAAATAAATGTCTCATTATAGCATGCGTGTGGAGTCGAAATAATACAAATTCAAACTTTGAATAACTCACCAGTTTCCATTTATTTCATAGGCGAAGTCAATCAATGTTATGTGCTGTATATAAACGAATAGCATTCCCCCGACTATTCCCATTATCATCCAAACTAATCACATTCAGTCATCATTAAAAATTCAGCTCACCTTTGGTAAGTGTTTCCAAATATGGAAACATATACGCAGTTAGCCACAGAGCAATTATGAAAGCAATTTTCCACAACCAGAATCTAAATGCAGATGAAAGAGTATTATAAAATTATTGAAAACTACCCGTTGTGAATCTTTCCCCGAACACTTTGACTAGAAGAGACAGCAATAGTCAGCAGTGCCATTAAAATATGAAATGTGAATAGGGAAAGACAAATACGATAAACGCCGATATATCCTATGAGTCTGAAACAACTTGTACCTGCTCCAATTTTTGAACAAAACCAATCAAACTCCGCACCATACTATAATAACAAGTGTAAAACTTTAACTACGATGTACCTACTCTTGAGTAAAATAATTTCGACAGTCCGCCTTCATGCGACGCGGTTGATAAAAAAGCAGTGAAGACAAGAATCAACGTATACAGAAGACGGGTTGTTGTAGATTCTCGAGCATTCTTTACACAGCATAAAAAACAAGGATATGGACCAAATCCACATTTCAAGGTTCGCCCAAAACAACCCATGGGAACACGTTACTAAAACTGTGTGAACAACACAACATACTCCAATTTTGATTTGTGCATCTGTTTTGACCTTGAATCGTCGACCTTCGAGGTAGTGCAGCAAAAGCCTGAATTCCAAATTATGATACTTAAGTCTGTGTTCTGCTGCAATTAAACTAATGAAAAGTTTTCATTAAATAGTGCATGTACCTTTATGCTGTTGCGTTCGTGAATTTCTGACTGCATAGTAAAAGTCAAGAAGAGTAGCAGATTAGAGCTCAGACCGTCATTTAGTGTGGCGGATATTCAGAGACAAGTTAAAAGCCTTCAAAGAAACTAGGGCGAGTCCACGTCTCTGAATAAATAACCAGTAACTGAGGAATAAACTGCTAAAGATACCTTCACAGCATCAAACAGGGCAAAAGTGAGAGAAATTACGTAGCAGCACCAAGAATGCTGGAACTCTCTGAGAGTGGTGTTGATGGAATTCTGTACAGGCCTTTTGGGAAGAAAGACAAGAAGAGGAAAGAGGTGGGCTCCTAGGCCACCTGATAGCTAACAGATGAAAGAGGGATGGTAAAACGGAAAACAAAGCAGTTCAAAAAAGGATAAAGAAAGGAAAAATTGAGTTCAATTTAAAACACACTGAATGAAGAAGTAGATAAGAGTGCTAGGAAAGACAAAAGATAATTCTACTACACACTGGAAACTAAAGCAAAGAAAGCAGCACGTGAGAGGGACCTCATATCACCATACTGGATAACTGGGTAGCTATCCGAGAAGAGATGAACACAGGTGAATCCAATGAAACTGCTTTAACAGTGGAATGCCCTAAACTCTTATCAACCTCATTCAATAGCTATATGACAATGCCACACGTCATGTGATTCACACTGAAAGGCTCAACGAAGGGTTTGAAATGAAGATAAGAGTAAGACGAGGACACCTGCCTTCATGAATGATATTGCTGGTTGTGGCAGACTAGATCAGGCTGCCGGGAGTCGGGAGAGAGAAGGCGGAAACACGTGAGACCGACATGATAACCACAGAAGACTCGAACTTCACATCCAGTTCACGTCTTACATCACGCGAACCCAAAGACTTACAAGCGAAAACCAAACAATCTTCAGAAGAAGCAGTAAGGACAGGACTTCCAGTGAACATAGACAAGACGGAGATGGCGGAAATAACCAGTCACCAAAAACAGCGGGTACCAATAACAATCGACGGGAGAAATTTGAAAGGGATTACTTCTTTCTTTTACCTAGGCAGTATCGCTGTAGCCGTAATAGACTCCACGGATGAGAATGTTAAAACCGCAACCGGGAAGGCTGGCTAGATCTTCATCTAACAGAATTCAGTTTGGAAGTCTTCTGCACTGAGTCAACACAACGAACAGAAATTCAAATTTTCAATACCACTGGCAGATCATTTCTTCCACATGGTTCAGAGAGTTCGTGTGTCACCAAAAGCATCGCTAATAGGCTTTTATCAGTAGCTGTCTTCACTCCACACTGAAAATCGAATAGCTAGAATAGACAAATGACAAGGAACTCTATCAATGGACCAAACAAGAACCTATCTCCTAACAAGTACACCGAAGAATGTGGGGTTGTATTGGACACATTGAGGGGACTGTATCGTGACATCACATACTTGGGCTCCGAGTGGGAACCGAATGTGTATCATGCTGTTTTTGACCCATTCACCACCCTACAGCACCCATGATCTTAAAAAAAGAACAGTCTTCCCAGAAAGATTTTCTGGGATGACAGGCTGGATATCTGTACACATATTCACAAATAGGGACTGCATACCTCTGTAAAGATATTACTCCTCCATATCTACAAGCTTCCTATAAGCCTGTTAATTATATAGTTCTCAAATACTACATCTTGATGGAATTTGAAACGTAATTCATGAACTTGTGGAGTCCTCAAAAATTAACTTATCCAAATTTTACTATTATGTAAAAAAATGAACATATTGTGCACTACTTTGTTTTAACCAAAAACTGTACTTTGAACTTCCCTCGAGTTTTAAAAAAATATATAATTCTGCCTTCGACTCTCCGTCTTCTCCACCTTCTCAACTGCCGTCGATCAATTATAACAACCTGCTTTCTATCTCGAATTTTTGCAGTAGCACCGTAGCCTATTCCTTCGCACTTTGGTTGACCTCCGGCAACGTCAACACTGGAGAATTAGAACTGGAGCAGTCTTCCCGCAGCACTTCTGGAATCCAGTACGTTTATTGTGGAATTTGGATCTTTGCAAACTCAATTGATTTGGTATTTTGTTTTCTATTTGAATTTTGAGTAAATAAGCTAACAGAGCAAAAGGTCCACCACAAACTGCATCTAAATTCCCGTGTTTTTGGCGTGGGCTCATCTGATTAGCTGATCAAGGTCATTATGTTCGATTGCTTGAACCTTTCGCTTGAGCCGCTTGTGTCTGATGTCGTCACAACCTTAGAACCCTCCAAATGTGAGACTGTGTAGATTCTCTAGTACTATTTCCGGGTTTATTTAGAGAGTAGCCACTAGGTTTTCCTCCGGTGAAGTAGTAGTGCCGCCATTTTGGTCCGCACTAGCAATACCCACATTACTTTTTGACTGTTTAAAGAGGGCTTAACTGAACGTTTTATCATCTTCAGACTAGTGAGGTATTGACCGTTTGGACTTACTAGAGCACATGCCCTCTGGGTGCTTGTTTTTTTCTCCGATATGAATCGGTACAGGCTTTCGGGGTTCGCCAGGAGATTTTGGTAACGTTGGCCTGAAATAACCTCCTGACTCTCACATTGCACTGGTTCCTGAGTTCCAGGTATGCATCCTGGTCGGTCTGATTCTTGGATACTCGCCACATAAACCATGCCTCTGGCTTTGCTTGCAGAATACGTTGCGCACCTCTCTTCAGCCATGAGGACCTTTTCTTCACTTGTGTTGTGACCAAAGGGACGGTATCCGAGATTGCTGTGTGATTAATCTCTTTTACCACTTCAGAGTGTTCATCTGCAGATAACTCAGCCCATTCTGCGTCGGACAAAAGCTTCTGCATTCCGGCATTGTCCTCCTTGTTATTGTACAGACACGGTCGCTTAGCATCCCACTTTAAGTGCTCACAGAGAACTAGATCGAATCCTGTGACTGCGTGGTCACTACTTCCTAGAGGGATCATGATCTAGACATTTTCGACAAGTAGTTGGCAACTAGTTAGAATATAATCTAATTTCAATGACTTTCCACTAGGATCCCACCCAATATGGTTACCAACATTCTCAGTCACTCCTGTATTTCCAATTATTTGAAATAGATTTCGACCAAATTTTCCCTGAGCATGCCCCGAGTCAAGGTTCAGGGATGGCGCATTGAAATCTCCAGCTATGGTGATTTGGTCATAGCCCAAGTCCCGTATCCCTGTTATGGCGCTGAGCAGTAATTGGTTGTGCTCTGCCCCAAGGTAGGTGATCGGTAGATACCGCCCAGTAAATGCTTGGTGTTGCCTACTGTGAAATGACTCCATGTAGATTCTGGGAGTTCAGTAAATGGTGGCTGCGCTGCACGTACACATTTAAGTTGCTTGTCAAAGTAGATGTCAACTCCCCCCTTCCTTATTATCCCTGTCTCACCTTACCAGAAATATATCACTTATACCGATTTCGTTGTATCAGATAATGAGGGTTAACCAGGTTTCAGTAAGGGTGACTGTTCTTAGGTGTAGGTGTGTTTGGAGATTCATGAGTTAACCCATTTTCCCTCCCGGCCCTCTTACATTGCTATACAGGCAGCCAGCAGTGAGTCTTACAACCTCAGTGTGTTACGGGGTACTTGACACTACGTTGGCTGTTGGTGGAGGGTTTAATATTGGGAGCAGTTGGCCAATTCCGATAGAACACGCATGTTGCTTTTTTTTCTTGGGTCCAGGTAGGACACTTGGTCGACACTGTCATTCTCACTGCCGCATTGCTGCAGTGTCACTTAGGCTTGGGGAAGTATAAAGACCTCAGTTTGCTGCCTCATAATGGTTCAAGGTCTGCTTTCTCAGAACCGCGTGTATCTCCCAATTTTATTGATATAAGCATAAAACTTGGGCACTGTGGTACAGTATAACTCCATTATAGATAAGATTTTATTTTGACAAACCACACGGTGTTCGGAACGTCATCAGTCAATATTACTCTATAACGCTGTGATAGATCAAAACAAAATCTTATCTATAATGAAGTCTTTTACCCTTTGTCTCGTACCACAGTTGAAGTATTAGGGCCAACTGTTCCCGGGAGCTGAATTTGACACCTATTAGCCTTGGTGAGCTGATCAGTGTGAGGTGAGCGGGACAAGATAGCCTGAAAATTAATATTGCTCCAGAAGCTCCAAGGGCCACCTGAGATGACAGCCATTTCCATTGTTGTACGTCATGCA